AAAGCAGGGACTACTTCTCTGGTAGAAAACAAAACCTTAGAAAAATGTAGCATTAAATGGTTCCTTGCGGAATAGCCAGAGCTCTTAATTAATAGCAAGCCTGTGTGATTTCCCTTCTTAGTTTCTGGATTCCCTAACTCGTAACTGATGAATCTGTTTATCTGATTTGCTCATACAGGAGTGGAATGCTCCCAAACCTAGGCATTCACGACTTCTCAAGAGTGCTCTGCAACGCCAAACTGTGAGCAAGAGTTTTTGAGCTATATGCATGTATTTTCAACAAAACATTATTGTATATTGAGTTGCTTAAAGTTTTTTCTTTATTCGTTAATTTTTTATTTTTCAGTTGGATGAACAGCAACTTTGGATGCCTTTGGCTAATCAAGGCTGGGAAACCTGTACTGAATCAGGCACTTCCTCCGGTGAGTAATTATAATCTACCGAAAAAGGGTTTGGTATTATAATTTATATTTTCCTTTCAGTGGAAGCCTTTTAAAGATGTGTAATTACCATCTATCTATGCATTCACATTTCTAACTTTTCCTGAATTACTAATTTCTTTGAAACAGCATTGCCAGAAAAATCTCAAGGATATATTCAGATTTTCCTTGATGGAGGACTAAATCAGCAGAGAATGGGGGTAGGTTTTTTATTTTCACTTGTTATTTCGTAAATTACTTGAGGATGATAATTTATAATTGTGATGACAAAAGTACATCTTTACGACTTCATAAGTTGCTAATTTTGAACTGCATCACTGATATTTACTCTTTTTACAAAGATTTGTGATGCAGTGGCTGTTGCTAAAATTTTGAATGCAACTCTTGTCATCCCTCATCTTGAAGTAAATCCTGTGTGGCAAGATTCAAGGTACTATTTATTAAGTTAATACATTCATGATACATTTCTAATATTCTAATCTTTCGTATTTAAAGCAGTAATCATGTTAACAACACTAGTACTTCTTCTCATGCAGCACATTTATGGATATTTTTGATGTGGATCACTTCATTAATGTATTGAAAGATGATATATCCATTGTGAAAGAGTTGCCTGACGACTTCTATTGGAGCACAAGGGAATATTACGCTACAGCCATCCGAGCTAATAGAGTCAAAACAGCACCCATTCATGCATCAGCAAACTGGTATATAGAGAATGTCTCGCCTATCCTGCAGAGGTGAGTATACAGAAGACGTGTTTCCTTCTTTCTTATTGAAATATTAGAACGCTCAACAACATGGATCTTGCAGTGAACTGCATGGCTTTTTCTGAAGTTAGATATACACACACAAACATGATTGTATAGATACAGTTTGGAATGGGTAACGTGTAGCAGCTCCCTTTGCTTAATGGTAACTTGCCCTGTCCATCTAAGTACCAAGTTTGATTTGTTTCCTCAATTTCTAATTGAGAACCCTTGGCTATATATCTAGGGCTAGCTGAGATGAGAATATGTAAATTTCCATTTGTTCTGGAATTGTATTTTTGCCAAACTCATGGAACATACAATAAACCATATTATTGTTTAGAAACAAATTCTTCAGGTGCTAACGTATCCATCCACGTGCCTTTATAGAGATTAACCAAAGTTTTGTTGTATGCTATCAACGTAGAACTTGAGATATGTTTCGATTTCATCCTATGGTTGACATTTTGAAAGGCGTGACGATTGAGAAATTTATTGTAGTTGATTTTTGTGACAAGGGTTGCAACTTTTGACCCCAAGAATCTGCAGTTAAGAGTTTGATAGTTGTGTTTCTGTTGTTGATTTTCCATGTGATGATGTTATAGACCAATGATTTTTATTTGAACCTTAGGTCGATATGGTTCTTTAGCTTTTCTTTCATCTGTGGATTATGATTGTGATCTGTGGTTGATCAGCTACGGGATTGCTGCAATTGCACCATTTTCTCACCGACTAGCATTTGACAACATGCCAAAAGACATCCAACGCCTGCGATGCAAAGTCAACTTTCAAGCTTTGGTGTTTGTTCCTCACATTAGAGCTCTTGGAGATGCTCTTGTCAGTCGCCTCAAATATCTGCCTAGTGAGAGTGAATCTAGTACTAATTACCTTAATGATGTTACTGATTCTAGAAGCAAGCAAGGAAATGGAAAGTTTGTTGTTCTCCATCTTCGATTTGACAAGGTATGTCTACTTTTTCAAGACAAAACCTAGTTAAAATTCAATTTTGGATCTAACAAATTCATCCCCGGTATGAACTTTTTCTGTTCTAATCTTCTTGATGTGCCTCTTATATTTACACCTTCCTAGAAATTGGCTTTTGCATGCCCTTAACCTATTATCATTCAGGCTTTCTCATACTTCTGATTATTTTGCAATGCAAGTGGGAGTAGATTGTTGCAAACAGACTTGTGCTGTGTCATCTTCCCAAACAGATTTGTGTTGCAAATCTGCCTGAGATTCCTAACCTGTCTGATGCAGGAAGTATCTTTATGCTGTTTCTTGATTTTGTTGCCTTTTCAGGACATGGCTGCTCATTCTGCCTGTGACTTTGGTGGAGGAAAGGCTGAAAACCTGGCTCTAGCTAAGTATCGACAAGTTATTTGGCAAGGAAGAGTCTTAAACTCTCAATTTACCGATGAGGAGTTGAGGAATCAGGGACGGTGCCCATTGACTCCTGAAGAAATTGGATTGCTGCTAGCTGCTTTGGGATTTGACAACAGTACTCGCTTGTATCTCGCCTCCCACAAGGTTTATACCTAAAACTCGTTTAATTTAGATTTTAGTGCAAAAACTTGTTCCGACACTTGGCAGCCAAGATTTGGTTTCATTTTCTAAAGTTATTGGTTTGTTAATGCCATTCTTTGCAGGTTTATGGTGGGGAAGCCAGGATCTCAACCTTAAGAAGTTTGTTTCCATTGATGGAAGATAAGAAGAGTCTCGCCTCTTCAGAAGAAAGAGCCCGTACTAAAGGAAAGGCCTCCTTATTAGCGGCACTAGATTACTATGTCGGCATGCAAAGTGATATATTCATTTCCGCTTCTCCTGGAAATATGCACAATGCTATGGTAAGCACTGAAGCCCATTAATTTGCACTGGTTTGCTGATGTGAAAATTGCTTGACATATCTTTAAGCTATTAAATAAGATTCTGCTAATCATATGTAATATTATTATGTGTTGGCCATCATTTAATTTCGAATTAATAACGTGCCTATTATAGCACCTTTGGTTTCATGACTACTACATGGTGAAATCTGGGAAACGTTGTTTCAGAGTTGTTTAATTCTGCAAATGTGTAACTTGGCTTGGTTTAACAGGTGGGGCATCGAACTTATCTAAATCTGAAGACTATAAGGCCTAGCATGGCGTTGTTGGGACAACTTCTCTTGAACAAAAGCTTGACTTGGCCAGAGTTCCAAGAAGCTGTTGTTGAAGGGCACAAAAACAGACAAGGGCAACTCAGACTCCGGAAGCCAGAACAGTCTATATATACGTATCCTGTTCCTGACTGTATGTGCAGTGCTTAAGATTACTTTGTTAGCACGCGAGTGTTTATGTAGATTCAACTATTGTTTGTGGCCACTAATAGTTGAAATAAATTATGATCCCTTTCTAGTAGTTACAGAACCATACCAGTTCTACCATGCGTGGAAATTCTTTGGTGGAAGATCTTTGTAAAATATGGGGTCGTATTAATCTATCTGAGGTTTGATTTACAATCCCAGAATAGCATTTCATGACGAAATCATGTGTTATTTTTTACTATATTCAATAATATACTATTTGTTTTGTTTAGCTCAGCTTGTCTAAATTGTTTGACGGAATAATCTTCAATTTGCATGTTCTTTCGAGCACCCTTGTGGCATGTTTGGTAGGTGGACATAACAGCACTGAACAAGAATAAGGAAGGAAAGGAAATTAAAAATGTTCTTATTCGTTCTTGTTCAATACCGAGTACCCCAGTATGTACCTGTGGGAACCCCTCAGCAGAGTTGGAAAACGTATTATTAGTTCTAAGACTGTATTCTCAACTTTTCCAGTTCTCCACTGTATGGGCTATTATAGTAGGAGCCTATCTGTAGAGTCCGCTCTTTTAGAAGTCCAGTTTTCTAGTTAGTTGTTGCTCCAATTTTTCTGTATCATCCCCTATGTATGAATTCCATTGCGCAGAATTGCCTTCGGGAGCATTACCATGTCTATCGAGTTTTGAATCCTCAATTCCAAACCACAGCAGCCCCCTGTTCCGTTTCAAATATGGTTGAAGGGAGTTGGGGCGGGGGCAGTAGTTGGGAGGTTGGACAAAAACTATGAAGAGCGGGCAAAATTGAATTGAGATCTGCTGTCCAATTTTTTATGTTCAATGTCCATTGAAGGGAGTTGGGGCGGGGGCAGTAGTAAATCTCAACTCGAAAAAACTATTGCAGATATGAAAGGTTCAGAAGTGAAATGGCAAGGAAAATGATTTTTGGAGTATAAATAGCTCAGCACTTTATAAGCACGAAATCCTCCCCTAAAAAAAGGAAAGAAAAGCATCATTTAGATGTTATCGAACCAACTAAGGGTAAGTTATTACTAGACGAAGTGACACTAAAATCTATTGAGTTCTATCTTCTACCTTACACGTTCCATCAAATACAGAATGTCAGCAGACGAAACCTCTTAGGAAGATCACAGCTGTAAAATTTTTTAAACCGTTGTAGGGGCTTTATTATTCCACCAATCGTTAATTTATACGCAAATTAACAAACAAAACAAATCAGCGAGGAAAATAATTTTGAACCAGTGGAAGAAATCGGTGGACCAGAAACAAGGTCTCGTCAACTGGGAAGCAATCTCCCAAAACCAATACAGTTGATATATAATGATTTGCATGAATGTATGATCAATTTGACAAAAGTTACCCTACAATACATCCTGAAAAAAATAATCAAGATGTGGATAAATAGATATGTCGTATGTACAGAGGATTTTACCCTATAACAAGCTCGACCAGTTTTTCTATACTGGATGGCGCAAGAGGCTAAATATCCTTAGTCTCGCTGATCTGACTGGTCGCCAGTTGTTGAGCCTGAGACGTTTGAACGCTTGATGTCATTTTTACCCTTCTCAGCCACTGGAGGACCATTACCTCTACGTAAAGCAGCAAATTCCTTCACATCCTCAGGATTTGGTGACGGTGCAATCTCCTCTTCAATGGGCAGGGTTCTCTTTGAGCCCTCCAAAGCGACGCCGAGAACAATATTCTCTTCCAAAGCAGGTTTTGTTCCAGGAGGCTGTACAACTGGCGGTTGTCTCACGTCTTCCTGTTTTAGAGTATTACCAGAAACAGGGTCTGATCTATCGCCTCCAGACTCTGTCAAGGAGTCTGCGGCATTGTCAACTGAACTGTGCAAACGAGAACTTCCTTGGCCTATCTTTTTAGGGTTCTTGCTATTAGAGGTGTTCTGTGCCGAACCAGCTGAACTTTTGGAGTTAGAACTGGATGTAGAATCAGTCCTAGAGACAGATTTTGATGCTGATTTTGCTGTTGCATTATTATTGACCTTGGGATCAGACAAAGGGCTCGCTGCAACCTTTTGGTCCTTCGTTTCAGCTTTCGGCACTTGTCCAACCTCGGCACCAGGCTTCCTATCCGACGTCATTATCTCTTTAGCCTTAGAGTCGGTAGACACTGTTTCTTTAGATTTAGTATCAAGACTTGAACTTGTTTCACCTCTACCATCCACCATGTTATCAGGTGTTGACCGTGCCACAGCCTTGCTGTCTTCCTCACCATTCACACGCACTTGACGAGCTTGAGTCTTTGTCCTCTCTTCCCCATTAATTTTATAGGAGGGCTCAATCAATAGCAATGGACGGTTTGAAGCTGCTTCATGGTTATAAATAGAATCTGCATATGGTTTATTTTCCAAGTCTGCATCACTATATATTTTCTGAACAGTACGAATGGGAGTGGCTAATCGAGCACGGTGATGCCGAATTACTCTGAGAAGGTCCAGAAGTATAGCTTCCTGTTTTTTTCAACCAAAAAAAAACATTAATCAAATTAGGCCGAACAAAATATAAAGAAATTAAATGAGAACATTTAGGGCTGTTTTGAGGAGAAATTTTGTGAAAAGTGATATTTTTTAAGAATTTGTAGTTAAAAATTAGGGAAAAGTTATCGGTCTATACAAAATTATTTTATTGGGAGAATGCATGGTTGAAAATGAATTTGGACAAAAATGAAATTTAAAGAATTTGTACCAAACATCGCTTTAGAAATGATGAAATCAAAATATGATAGCTGTTTTATGTTACTTTAAAACCAGGATACCCAGTGTCCAATCCTAAGTGGTATATCATAGAGCAAAGCGATTTTAGAAAGTGTATACTTTCTAATTGGCGCAACTTGAATAGAACCTGATAAATATTCTCAGAAAGAGGAGCATTTTAAACACGAAGAAAAGCAAACCTCTTCCTATGGCTGTGGAACTAATAACAGTGTAAATTTTCTCCCCCTGTGAACTTTCTACAAGGATAAGCAACAGGCTGGTCGGAGAAGCACTCGGAGTATATATAATCTACTTTGCATATAACATATTAGCACCAAATTACATTTAGCATCTAGTGTAAGACTTTGCCGAACCCATTGTTTAGAATTTAGTTTCTTCGTTTGTTGCTTCTATGAGTAAAGAGTTTGTCGGTCTACACATTTGCCTGATCCATATCTATTACTATTACTATTACTATTACTATTAATATTGTTATTGTTATTGCCTTTCAGATAAAAATTGAGAGGTTTCTGGAATGCTGATATATGTACAATGTTTCTTTCTCAACTTGTAACATCCTAACCAAATTGAAATGATTAATTGATATATCAATATTTCACAATTTTCACACTCATGATACTCCAATAGATAGAGTTCTCCCCCACACCCATTTCCACTACTTTGGAGACTGGTAGTTCTGAATGACCCCAAGTTCAAAACGCGTGAATCACTAGGAAGAGTCTGTTTCAGCTGCTGAACTATGGGTTTCAACTATCTGGTATCAACCTTGTGATATGAGTGGAATAAATGGAGTTGCAGTTGCAAAATACATCAACTTACTAATCAAGCAGACCATGTCTTAATCCAAAGGGAATATAGCTGCTAAAAAATGTACTCGCACCTTAACACAAAGGTATTCTTCAAAATGTGAGGTCTTCACGAAGCAGGACACCAAGATCTGAATCATTTGGGAGGTGATAAGAATCAGTACTTGAGGTAAAAATTGTAGTACCATGAGATAAAATATTCAGGAAACAAAACAACGATTATGTAAAATTATTTTCCATGTTATAAATATTGCATAACAAACAAAATGCAGAAAGGTCACATGGACAAGGTGTCACAAATTAATTCAGCTAAAAACGAAAAAAAGTGACTAAATAGTTAAAATATGCAACTTCATTAACATCATCGTGGGCTAAAGACACTCACCATCACCTTAGTCATTAGAAGTAGTGATATGCATGATAAAGAAGCATGGAGACTGAATATGGTAAGGACCAAAATATATCTTTGCTGATAAGAACACAATGGATTATTTTTTTCTTTCCCTTCTTTTATTGGGGGATTCTTATTTTATTAAACTTCCTATGGAGGAACATATTTTGATAGCAATATTGTTCAGAGAAAAAAAGGGTTAAATTAGATGATGTAATCATATCCTACGCCAAAAGAATTATAATATCTCACAATAATGTTACAATATGATCATATTCAAACATTGAAACTGACCAAAAGGGCCTGATTTTCAGAATTGATATTATCCAGAAATACTCTTCTATGCAACTTCTGTTGTTCAACTTGAGGATTCTTAGCCAGAACCTTGCGCATATCGGCGACAATGTTCTGCACAAAGCACAAAAAAATTTGTCAGGGATCAGTACAAGATAACTGTATCAATTTCTTTAAAGCCTTTATCAATCGTAACTAAAACATTCCAAAATGATCCTCACATTAATTTTGTTGACATCCAAGTGACTGATGGCTAGGTGGGTTTTAATACGCCAGTGAGTTTTTTGAGTGAGATTTCTCACAACGTTCATGGTAAACTTGTGGTTTGGAATGTGAACAGCTTCGCGATCTTCACCTCTTACAATTGTTGGTGACCACCATCCCACATGCTTCCATACATAAATACAAATGTATTGATAATCGTGAACATATTAATAGAAACTTGACAATTATATGATAGAAACTCTGAAATAAAGCACGTGATAAACTTAGAATTTTGAGAATTAACCAATAAATGGAGACTGTTTCATGTTTCATGCTTAAATGGTCACAAGGTGTAATTACAAACATTCGTATATATCATATATAAATGATGGCATCACAATCGGATATAATGTGCTTTATTTAGATGAAGCTTGTCTTCCTCAAATACTAACCTCAACTGGTGGTAATATCTAATATTGGATGGTTAAATGAGTTCAACACTAACCTCAACTGTCCCAGAAACTTCATAGCCTTCAATCTTAGTCTGAATCCATTCATTCACAACAAATGGCCGGGTTGCATGAATCATTGCACTTGAAAGGAAATTGGTGAATATCTAAAGACGACAATAACACAAGTGGATTTAATTGGCATTCAGAAAGGACTTTATAATACCGAGTTTCTCCATCGGAATTGGAGAGGACTAGCGAGGTAATATTCAAGAAAAGAAAGCACAATTTGATTTACACCTCACGTCCAGCAAGTGTCAGCAAGACTGTCCCGAGCCCTCCTGCAGTGAGCCATTTTTGGGTTGAGAAACCCAACAACTCCATAAACAATGATACAGCTGCAACCCATACTGCAGTGTATACAGTTCTGCCTGCAAACTGGAAGCCCATCTGCAGAGTAGCAATAAAAAAATTGTAGAATGAAAATAATACTGGAAAATCTTCCAATCCAGGATGCATATCAGTCTTTTATGCACGCATACATACTTTTCCCCTTTTCCTTTCTCTCTCTCATTCCATGTCTTTTCCATCCCCTTAATTTCATAATTGTTTTCTTTCTTTCTTTCTTTTTTCTTTTTTTTTTTTTGGGGTGGGAACTTACATAAAATTTGTTGAAGTTTATGCCAAGATCAACAACCAATGCAAAGGAAAAAATAATAATGAGTAAAATTAACGAAATACTGATTTGATGTGATATAGCCAAATAATCTGCTTCAAAAGCTGTTACTTACGGTTAGCACTAAAATCAGGATAGATTAGTAATTTACTTCTTAATGTTATATTTAGTAATTACTTCGCAGATGATAATACGATAACATTTTGCTTGTGTATCTTGATTATTTTCAGGTAGAGAACAAACATAGTTTAATAATCACAACCTGATCATTTTAAGAGATTGGGAAAGGAAAGGAAGGCCTCAAATAAAAGGCAATAAAAAGCAAGAAATTTGTTTGTATGCTATTATATGAAAGCTCAGTTAATTACATCTTGCTACCTGGAATCTTTACTTCAATCTATTAACAATAACAGCCAAAGCTGGGGAAGCCACAGCAAGAAACTATTTGGTGGCATTTATAAGTTCAAAATGACTTTATTGTAGCTCTCGACGCTTCTATCAATCAATCTAGCTCCTTACTCAGGGGGAGAGTGAAAGATTTTGTTATTTGCTGATAATCAATATTAAAGAATAAGAACACTTGAAACATTAAAATTGATAAGAGAAATCCCATTGCGTGATGCAAAGTGTTGGAACGTACATTTCTAGTATCAGCAGGGCCATTTGTCTCCATGAAGAATTTCTGTGCTTGTTGAATTACACTACATAAGACGATCCAAAGATTGCTCAGTCCTAAAGAGCTAATTGTTTCGTAAAAAACTAAATACAAATAATATGAGTGGATAAGTACATGGATTAAAAAAAAACATATAATTAAACAATGACACACATGACATAATAAGAAGTACAGTTCCTCTGTTTAAGATTCAGATTTATTAAAAAGGTAATAGGAAACAATTTAATTCAGAGAAATGAGTAGCATGTGACAGTGAGCCTTCTACACACATCACTGTCAAAATGCCCAAGTAACTTGAGTGGCCCCCCTTTCCCCTAAATGGAAAAAGGGTAAGGAACATAAAAAGGTTTTTAAAAGTGTAAAAACTAAAGCTCACTAACATTATACTCTACACCATCATCTACTCCAAATTTGACAATTTTTCTCCTGTATGGTCATAAATACTTTATATAGTAACTAATCTGTGCACTTTATGGACACATACACAAGTCCAAACCAACTATCTTTATGTGTGTTTGTGTGCATGCACATGATGCACGTATGCTAGGTTTTGAGCAGTATATTCCCATTAACGGACAATGAAAACTAGTAAAACATTCAGCCTGGATAAACATTGAGGCTTGACTTTGTGTGCAGAACCATTCCAAACAGAAAACATAGCATTACTGACATGAAATACTATGTCACATTTAAATCAAACACAGTTCAAACAGGAAGCATGGTCACTGCCTAATGCAAGATAAATCTCCAGACATTAATATCAGCCAAGTATTCTTAGTCAGCTCATCGAGTTTGGCAGATGAAATGTTGGAAATTTCACTCACCTTGATAAGCAATAAGCAAAAGCCAAAACTGTTGACAAGGATCTGACAAAATTAAGGAGACGCTGCTTAACAACTTGACTAGCTTCTGTTGGAAGAACCATTGGATCCAATGCTCTGTAAGATATGCACTTTTCTTCAGTATGTTATAAGTTATTTGATATGATACTATAGTTACTATTGTTTCAGTCGGAAAAAATATGACCTGCAGATGAAGATTGCTCCAGTCCATAGCAGCAAAGGCTGAACGTAAGATGTCATAACATGATATGACCTACTCCTTTTCCAACTACTATCACTCTTCTGTAGGATATTAATGAGATAATAGAGCTCAAATTGGCATAGAACATAAATAACCAATTATTCATGAACTGAACTATAGAGCAAACTGGAATTGGAAAGGCACATACATGAAGCAATAAGTTTCTGCTTTGACGCACAATTGGGCCAAGTCCCCATACTGCAAAAACAATGATACCAACTGCTGAAGCCAATTTGATAACGAGAGGACTTCCTTGCAAAGGATGAAATGATCTGCATAACAAAGCTATTAAGCTTGCATGAAAAAGATAAGAAATGGAAGCTATTATAATAATGATCTGCATAGCAAAAATATTAAGCTTGCATGAAAAAATAAGAAATGGAAACTATAATAATATTGAATATGATATTCGGAGCTGCTCACTAAGACATTATACAATTCCAGAATGCCAAAATATAGTACCAACAAGCATTTTGACTCAACTTATGCTTTCATGACACTTGTTTTAACCTCATTTATGATTCTATGAGGTAAGTATCTAGAGTTCTTCACACTCAGATGATAACTTCAGCATACCTGAAAGCCAAAAAGTCTGATTTCCCCTCTTAAAGCCTTAACTAACTAACTCACAATTGGATTAATAATCTCACTACTCTCTTTTGTTCAAACTGACGTTGCTTTCAAGACATCCCTTAATTCGTCTAATTATGCATTTCATAATGGGACATGAGTTCTTTTTCATTTTAAACAATTATAAGGAATTTGCCTAGCTACTTTAGATTCCCTTATGACCTTAATGTATCTTTCTTAACAAGTAAATTAGTGATTTTTTTACTCATAACCACATCTAAAGCATGAAAGAAAAATTAAGGAATGTAGTTGGCACATTTTTATTTTTATTTTTTATAACCGTAGATATTCGGGTCAACTTGCGCGCACCTCGACTAATCCCAAGGGATCCTGAAGTTTACGGCCGGGTACTCACCTCAGTGGCCCTGGGGGGACTCGAACCGGTGACCACTGGGAAGCAAACCCAAGGCCTGACCAATTGAGTAACCCCTCAATATTTGTAGTTGGCACATGGAAGTAATAAAAGTTCAAAGCCACTAAATTACAAGGGTTGTAGAACATTTGTAAGTAGAAATTGAATCTCAGCAATATAATCCAGGATATGGGAAAATGCACTTTATAATTCAGGTAGGTAGTTCAATAAAAAAAAGGAGTAATTACCTTGCTAAAGTTAGAGTGGCATTCTTTACATAGGTAGCATCCCACGAGGGGCCTGGTTTTATAAAAGAGCGACATTTGAACTGATGATATCTATACGGGACAGTGTACACTCGTTTGTGCCTAGTCTTCGAAAAATGTGCACTCCAAGAATTCTGTCTCTACAATGCAAAAAAGAAACATTGTCAACGTGTTCCTTGAACAAAGATTGAACATGTAAGAGCTTCAAGAATAAAAAGATGATGTAACCAGAAACTTATTTTGCTGTCATAAATAGCAACCAGAAAACAATACTCAACCTGGTCCGCATTCATCCAATATACAAATTACCAGAAAAGACTAACCAGCTTATAAAAAATGTCCATCACAACAATTTCAATTTTCTTTACTTCTTGTAATTACTACCCCATCCCCTAACCCCGGAGCAGATGGACACAGGGAAAGTCCAGAAGGATATTCAGTATTTCAGAAGACCAATTGGGATAAAAACAATGAAAGTAAGAGCAGTGCCTTCCTTTCTTTGTTTGTTTTTATTTGAGACGCAAGGAAAGCTACTCCATCTGTAACCTATTTTTTGGTCCCTGCTTTACATTCTAGAAGAGTTGATTGAGCAAAATACAATATGCTATATAAATGGCAGAAAGTTAAAGAACATTGCAACCAATAAATGAAACATTGCGGCCGACCTCAAGATTATTTTGAGACAGCTAGAGTTAACACAATGTCTATTCTAATCTAACTAGAAGACTGTCAGGTATGAATCGAATAAAAACTAAGAACATCTTAAGATTTAAATGGGAAGTTGTAAGGAATCATGTATGGAAATGACAAGATTCATCTTTCTCCTAACATACCAGTGAAAATGTTGATAGATTAGTGTCCAAGAAACATAATTTGCCTTCTCCTGTTGCATTCTGCAGTTAGTCATATGATAGTGTAGTCAGCAATGAGAGAAAACATTAGTTACTTAAGTTAAACCTTGAATGATTCAAGCATTGACATTTTTACCTGAAATATTTTGCTGCGTTCGTGGTTCTTGCAAATTCCCAATTGAAGGGGCAGTTGCAAAGAACCAGAAACAGCCATTATTAGATGAAAGTACGTTTCTCACTGAGGTAGGCAGCAAAAGATGATTACGCTACTCAGCAGAAGTCTTCATAAACTTCAATTGGATAATGGCATGAGACTGGCTAAAACCGACAGTCTCGCTATTATTAATGCATGTTGTAGAAAAATAAAACTATTAGAGTTGCCATTCATTAATCATCACCTGAAGCTACGACGGGATAGAAATTCAAAGACAGAATTGTCAAAATAAAGTAATGGTCTGAAAAATGAAGCCCGAAAAACTATCAAGGGGTGAAAATTGAATTAGCTTTCAATTAGTAACTATGAAGCCAAACAAACAGTGTTTTGAAAACCAGACCAACCAGGCTGGTCCAAACAGGAAAACCAGGAACCGGTTATAGCCTCAGAAGACATGGTAAAAAGCTGGGATGAAATCTGATGAACTGGCTGGTTCAACCAGTAGGCAGTAACCAATCAGCTGGTTTTTCCTCCTGTTGTTTTAGAATACAAAAAAAGAAAAAGAAAAAGGAAGAAAGAACCTTTTTTTGTTAAGGAGCAATTCAGCTTTGACATAAATGATTGTGTGTTTTATGAATATCATTGACATCATAAACTTTAACATTTGGTTTTGATAAAATGGTGGTTTGTATATTAATTAAAGATACACTTGTTACATTTTTACCTCCGGTTCGATACTGGCCTTTCGAAATTGATCTGAAAGATATCGAAGCCAACTTCCATTTTTGTCAACCAATAAATATTCACAACCATTGAAATTGACAGTGTTGAAACAGCTTAAGGGTGATGATTGGCATAAAAAGGTACAATTCTCAAAAATTCCCAAAGATGTGGCAACTGTAAAAGGAGGACTGCCGAACCACAAGCAAACCTCTATCAGAACTCACTAACCATTTAAAAATGTAATTGAAGTTCACTAATACCAAATATAATCCCTCCTAAAAACGAAAAAGGGGAATTCAGGAATAACTTATACCAGTTTTTCTTTTCAAAAATCCACGTCCAATAAAAAATTCTAAATCGAATAGCCGAGAAATTACTAGCCCTAGTGCACTTTCACATGAAATCATAAAAGAAAGTTTTTTTACTCTCGAAAATTAGGAATTAATATCGACGCTGGAAAAAATTATTAACATAAAAAGAAACAGCACTTTAAATTCGTATTAATTCACAACAATCAAGGTGAAATGATACGAGACGAAGTCTTCTTACCTAAAATAAACTGCTGCAAACGGATAACACGAAAAGAAGATTCGTCTGGGGGTGGGGTGTCAATTGAGGATGCGGCGATAATTAGAATTTTGTTGGGAGGGGATGGTGCTGCATACGCCGCCACCGAAAACAGAGACTTGGTTGGAGCACGTGGCGATGCTGTTCAATGCATATAAGGGACCACGGTTGGGGGACTTGTGGTTGTCGTTTCTTGAATTTTAAACTGTTCTGCTAGCTATAATAATAATAATAATAATACAGGAAAAATGAATTAGCAAAATACAAATAAAAGAATGAATTTCGTTATTGTTTTACTTATTAAATAGAAATTAATTAAGGAAAAATGAATTAGCAAAATACAAATAAAAGAATGAATTTCGTTATTATTTTAAATATAAAATAGAAATTAATTAAGGAAAAATGAATTATCAAAATACAAATAAAAGAATGAATTTCGTTACTGTTTTAATTATTATGCCAATGTTTGGACTTCATTTTCTACAAAAATTCATTTTTAATCACATATTCTCTCATAAAATAATTTTATATGTAAATTCAAAACTTTTCTTTACTCTTTAATTATGCATTCTCCAAAAAATCACTACTTCAAAATACATTTTTCCAAGTTAAAAAGAAAAAGAAATTAAAATGACATATTATGATCGTAATTTATTTAGATATATTGGATCTTTAAAATAGAAATAACAATAACTCAGTATAATGGAAAAATAATAATAATTATACACGGTATAATTCAAAATTATATCGGAGAGCTCAAATCTAACGTTAGAACGATTTGATACTTGTTTTTTGTGTCCCACTATTGTTTAATCAATTTCAAAAAAATATAGTTCTTTAATGCAATAATTTCTTAACATAATATTATAGATTAGAATATTCACAATTTTGAAAAATTTACATTATGTTCTTGAAACAAGATTTCAATCATACATTTCTCTCTCAAATTCATTTCTCCATTTGAAACTATAGTATTTGTCATGACTAAAAAGGTAAATTAACCTTTCACATATCCCTCAAAATTGAGATTTTGGATACAACGACGAAATCCTTACTACTTCCATCTCGAAAAGATAGAATTATTTATATTTTCACACATATTAAAAAAATGTAATTACCATAGCTGAAAATATAAATGTTTCTTATATTTTTCTTAATGTACCCATAATATTGAATAATAATTTAAACGAGATTAGTTAATATTTATTAATAACAAAGTACATTAAGGGCTTGTTTCAGTCACATTTATTAATAAAAATTAGAATGAAATAGTAAATGAAGATTTTTAATTTCCAAGACACCCTCTTCCTATTCGTCCCGATTCCTATGCCTCCTCGCCTCTCGAAACTTCTCAAGGCTACTCAATCTTACCATGTCATTTTGTCATTCCTAATTCGGAAAGTTAAAATCATACGATTTTAGGTGAATTGGAGATAAATTTTAGCTGTTTCACATTGTTTTTTTTCCCTATATACTCAAGAATCACGTGAAAGTGGCGTACAATTTTATATTCTCATTCACTGTTTCGCTCACTTGGGGACTTAAGTTCACTATTTTAAAAAGATTGGAGACCTGAAATTTCAATTTTTCAATTGGGAATTCAAAACTAAACGCAAAAGGTTGGGAAGTTGCTTGACGCTAGTTTAGGAGGACCAGACGAGTCTCCCTCCGTGCGTGAGAGAGAGAGAGAGAGAGAGAGAGAGAGAGAGGATGTCAAACGACGAGAAGGTACAGCAAGAGGCTGAACAGATAATCGGAATCCACGGAACCCTTCCTCGTCTTGTTGTCTTCGATCTCGATTACACTCTTTGGCCCTTTTACTGGTAAATTCTTATTCCCCCTCATCGTGCTTGAATTTGAACGGTATAATGTGGATTTTTATTATGTACTTTTGGGTTTCTGGATATCTCTCCAGATTGGAATTTATTTTGCACGAATTTCTTTGCGACATCAAATTTATCTTTTTATGACGTCATGGAATTTCTTTTTACACCGTGGGAAATTAAAATACTGCTGTTTACAGTTGGTAGATATTCGTACTGCTAATGTTAGGTTTCGTCAATGAGTACATGCGATGCAATGGGAGAATATATTCTGATTATATTTGGTTACGATTTGATTGAGTGATCATTTTAGCATAGTTTCCAAGTTAGCAAAATTCTGTTGTTTTCAATGCTGTTTTTTTTTTATTCTTGCCTGTTCATACTGTCATAATTTCATGGTTCTCCAGTTTGAGAGCTTCAATGTACTGACAAAGATAATAAATAAATCATGGCTCTCAATCAACTCCTATTTTCTTGATGTTTTAATTATGGATTCTAATCGATGTGTGAATCGAGAACACGAGACAAATCACCTGCGTGCTCCCTACAAAAAGTTTCAAAATTCGTAGAGAAACTTACACGAGAGAATCCGTGTCTAGTAACTCTGAGCTAAAATTGTGAAATTTGTGATTGAAATATTGTTGTCTCCAATTATTTAGAGCCAGGAAAGTGTTTTGAAGATCTTAACATCGTTGGTAACTGTCAGATGCTGCTATTTTGATTTATAAATTGACAAATTCTTGCTGATATTCTGCCTTATATCCTGCTGCAACGTGAATTTTTCTTTCCTTTCTCTTCTAACTTAATTGCTTTGGTACAAGCGCTTAAGCTTTTAGGCTACCACTTACAGTTAATAAAAGCTGAGTTTGTATATTGGATTTGACTATATCACATGAGCTAGGTATAGAAACGAATGATGGTTTTTTTATTTTTTTACTATCTTACATATGGTTGTGCTTCTTACAATATGTGTATTTAATTTTTCCAGTGAATGCTACTACGAGGATGATGCGCCTTATCTGTATCCGCATGCTCGTGGAATATTGCATGCCTTGAAAGCCCGAGGCATTGACATGGCTATAGCTTCTAGATCACCTACTCCTGAGATAGCTAGACCTTTTCTTGAAAGACTAGGAATTCGATCCATGTTTGTGGCTGAGGTTAGGCAAGAAATGCATTTTTGTTGCCCTTTCTTATGGTTTTCTCTTGAATCCTATGTAATGTTCTTGATTTCTTATTGAGCTCAATCATTTTATCCTGTATACCTTTTTTATTGACCTACAGCACATTTTCTGTTGACAATACTAATTTATCGTTTTTGGTTAAATGCAAGAAAGCATATCAAAATATATGGATGTAACTCGTCAATGTTTCCAAAAATTGAATTCTTATTCCATACCTGTTTTTTAAATTCGACAAGTCTATGAGCAGTGAACAATATCGTAAAGCCATGAGGTGTAGTCTTTGTTAACTGGTAGGAGTCTTCTTCATCATGTCTCTTGTTGAGTGGTAGCTTTTTTGTTGATACGTGTTTCAACTAACCACATCTTTTTTCACTTTATTCTCTGTCTTCTTAAACTTCTCACCCTTAAATTATAATCACATTCTTTTGCCAAGTACTTCCAGATGACATTTTACTGGTAATTATGCAGGAGATATTCTCCAGTTGGTCACACAAAACGGAGCATTTCCAGAAAATCCATAAGAAAACTGGGATACCATTTGAGTCAATGCTCTTCTTTGATGATGAGGATAGAAACATTATAGCGGTATAATTTCTTTCTCTTGTGCAGATTAATCTGAACATTTTATATTCAAATTTTTGCCATCAAGTACTGGAGAATAGATCTTCTTACACGATGGTGTATAACTTATATATCATTCTTACTAGTAACATTTATATGCAGGTCTCGAAAATGGGTGTAACAAGCATCCTGGTACATCGTGGGGTAACCCTTGATTCTTTGAGGCAGGGACTCTCTGATTTCGAGCAAAAATCAAGTTCATCCCGTGGAAGAAAGTAGATTTTATTCATCCACGCTTGTCTTGGCTTTGCTTTGCTTAGCTTAGCTTATACTATAATACCATAATGTTGCCATTTGATTTATACCGACTGGTTGATATACTGTCACTGAATGCAACCTCACAACAGGGACATGCAGCTTACTCGAAACAGAGTTGTCCTGTGAAATAATAATTATTCTTGTTAAAAAGGCTAATTATCTCATTGTATTACTATTGTTTTAACTGTTGAATGAACTCGATTTGGATATGTAATTTGACAATTGAGAAGATGGATCTTCCAGGATTTGTAGCTTGATTGACGTGATTATCCAAACTGTTGCTTCATACAAGGTTTCCAAGTTCAGAAATAAGAATGGTTTCTAGGTGCAAACCCTAAATAAAAATACCATAGTTTACGTTTTCAAGACTGCATTTCAGAATTTTAACAGATTATTTCCTGGTTAGGAGGATCCCATACTAACAAAAGAAAATCTTTCCATGAGAATAATGAATTCAATTGTCATACAACAACTAAATGGATTGCACGTAGTTTCAAAGAAAGAAAACAATTTTTGCTTTAGATAGCATATACAAACGTAACTCCCACTTCCAACAACAGTTAATTGTTGAGGGCTCTCAATGGAGATCTTTCATCATGAATGGCTTCAGCTCTCTTCATCAAGGGGGATGATGAGTAAGTGTTCATATTCTCTTTAACAGGGTCATATTCATCATCATAATTGCCATTCATTTCTATCCTCGGCCCGTCATTCTCCATGGCGTGTACTATCCTTCCCAATTTTTCCATCAGCTGCATATCTTCCACAGATAACTTCTGAATCCTATCAGATAGCAATCCCATAGTATTGCTGAACAAGTTTTCCCGGTCTGAAAAATGTTCGATTATCTTAGCCTTTTCATTGGTTAACTTCTCAATTGTAGTATCTGAACTAAGCTGCTTCTCTTCAAATTCACATTCCAGTTTGTAAATTTCCAGTTGTTTCGATTCTAATTCTGCTTCAATTTCCTCTCTTTTCTTTCTGGAACTGAATAAGGTTCTGTCTTGCTGTTCCACTATCTCCTGTAAATTACTCAAGTCATGTTCTAATTCTGTAATTATCAGACTTTTCTCTTGAATTTCCACATGTTTCAAAACCTCAGCTGTTTTGATCTTTTCCCAAGAGTCATGGAACGAATTCCTCTCTGTCTGCATCTTTGCAAGTTGCGATGAAAAAGAACAGGTTGAACTTTCAAACTCCTGTTCCAATGATGCAACAAGCTGCTGTAGATCATAAATTCTCTGGTCTTTCTCTTCTACAATCTGGCTAAGGGTTTCTTTCTCCTGCTCGTAGTTTTTCTCAACTCGAGCAATAATGGCTGCTTCTAGTTCTTTATTGATCAACTCTTGCACCAAACAGTTCAACTCTTTCTGAAGACCTTCTGCGGCCGTTTCATCTGAATGTTTAGCCGAGATTTCTTTTCCCGCTGTCCTTGATCCCTCCAGACTGGCAGTTTCTTCAGACTTGATTCTTTCGTTTAATCCAGCGATCTGTTGCTGAAGATCATCGATCCTCTTATTTTTCTCTTCTAATTGATGACAGAGGCTTTCTTTCTCTCGTTTAAGGTTGACCTCGACATCTACTTGTGCAATAAGAGAAGCTTCTACGTCTCTACGCATTTGATGGTTTTCTCTTACGTTTATTTTGAACTGTTCAGCAATAGATTTCCAGATCTGCAATTCAAATTCAACTTCATTTAGTTCACAGAATTTCTCATACAGCTCCTCATTTGCTCTATCCAGGGCATCGTGGATTGTTTTCAAATCGCTCTGAATTTGCAGCACTTGCTCTTCAGAATGTAACTGACGAGTAGATGATTCTTTGAGCATTTCTTTGAGTCTATCAAGCTCCTCGTGCAAAGGAAGCCGCTCCTCTTCAATAGATTTCAGCTTTCTCGACAAAATCACCGTCTTCTCATGCTCCTCCTCAAGTCCTTTTTGAACTCGGATGAGGTTCTCCTTCTTCATTTCCAACTGTTCCACTAGAATAGAAATAGTTTTTTCTAGTTCTTTGTTTTCCTGATCCATGCAAGCACCATAATTAGCAAGCACGAGTTGGGCCTCTGAAATTTCCGACTTCAACACCAATAACAGCAGAGAATTCTCCTCATTCTGTAGCTCTAGTTCTAATGTCAGAGAACGACAAGCTTCCAGTTCCTTTTTGAGCTCATTTATAGAAATGTCTTTGCTTTCTAATGCAGATCTGCAGATATTGAGGTCCACTTTCAATTTCTCATTTAGTAAGCGCCACTCAGCTTCTTTTGCTTTGAGACTCATTGAACAGTCCCTGTGCGCCTCCAGAGATTTGAGCTTGTTCCGAAACTTAGATGACGAGGAAACATTTCCTGCTTCCTGGATTTGAGCTTCTTGAAGTTCTTTAATCAATACCATCAACTCTTTCTTCTCTAGCTCCAGCTTGTTGAACTGGTACTGCATTTCTTTGTAAAGTGTCTCCTTTGTGCCCAATGAACCCCTCAGAGTAGCAATTTCTTGATCCCTCTGACTTGTCAGGCTTTCGATTTTCAACTTAGCCTCCTCATATTCATCACAAACAAAGCCAAACCTGTTCTTGAATTCCAAAAGTTGAACTTCCAAAAGCTTTCTCTTGCCTTCTTCATGAGCCAGAGCCTGGTTGCACATGTTAAATCGATTCTGTAGATCTTCTGAAATTCGGATTTGTGATTCCAGGTTGGATTGTAAGGAAGAGATGTCATCAATCAATACAGCTTTCTCCTTCTCCCACTCCTTTTCCCTCACTTGCAAATGACGTCGAAGCTTTTCATGGGCTTCTTCTAAATGGCCAAATTGTTCATTCTTCCATTTCAGACGATCTTCAAAACTTCTATTTTTCTCTTCTAATTCGTGGAAAACATCATCTCTCAGCTGTACTTCTTTAGAAGCTTTGGCCTTGTTTTCTGCTTCTGAAGACTTCTTCTGAAGAACAGTAAGAAGTCTCTTACCTCCTTCAATCTCTTCTTTAAGTGAACAAATTTGCTTCTCTTGATCCATGTTCTTGGCATTTGCTTCGTCCAAAGCCAACCCCAACTCTTTATTCTCTTCTTCACACTTGCGAAGCTTCTCACCATAGTCAAGACGAAGTTTACTATTTGCAGATGTAAGATGCTTGATGGCAGCCTCTTTATCTTTCAAATTAGACTTCAGCTCTTCATTTATTTGATTTGCAGCACAAATTTCATCTTTCTTCCCATTTAATTCCCGAGCTAATTTTTCCAGCTTCTGATTCGCTTCCTGAGACTTAATAAATATCTCACTTTGGGATCTCTTCAAACTTTCGGCTAATTCTGCTTTAACACGATATTCCTCTGTGAGCTTTTTGAATTCAGCTTTAACCTCATCAAGTTCTTCATAAACCAAATCCATTTCCTTCACTTCAAAACAATCTATACCAAAAAAACCTGTTGGCAGATAAAAGACAAGATTCAATTGGCAAGTTCACCAGAAGGAGAACAACATATGGACAAAAAAATAAGCTGAGCAAAATATTTCGGTCAAGTTTGGAAGTAAAGCAATTCAGCATATGTTATGTAATCTTCATCAGGATTAAGGACATTATGCATGAATGAAAGTACAATAATATTTCCTTAGAACATGATATATTGGCCTACATTGCAAGCAGCATACTTGTCTGATCGTCTATACTTTTAAGGCTTGTTCGGTAAGGAGAATTGTATAGTATTAGACAGTTATGGAAAAGATGCAAAAATAATGTAGTACCTTCCAATCTTATCCAGTAATCGTCGACCTACTAACTTCAATGAAATCACGTGTACACCCCCTACAATAGCTATTCAACAATAAGTAAAAATACAAACAAAAATGATATTCTTATAGTTTTGTGCTACTAAGAGTAAGGTAGTGTCTGCTGTGTGTTTGTTGTATTGCAAATATATAACTTAAGAAACTTAAATTATGATATTACCACAGAATCACATATAGAAAAACCTTACGTCACCGTATCTAAGCTAGTTCATAGGCTGAAAAACTATATAGTTTCTTAGGAATTTCAGTTAGAAAAATAATGTGAAGCAATTTAACAAGCTTGCATGACTTTAAAACAACAATAAGGAAGAGAATCACCACTGGCAACTAAAATTAGAACTGTTAAGGAATGAATATAGATTGACTATTTATGAATAAGAGTTCTATTAAAACATATTTTAATACGAATCCACTCATTCTTATCTTCATTTTTCTTAGCAACTACACAGATAACGAGATTGCAGGAAAAAGAAAGTCTCAAGGCCTATTACACATGGACAAAATTACATTCTAAGTGCATAATTCAAAGAAATTCTAGAGTGAAGCCTGTTAAAGAATAATTATGGTAAAATGTATTACGAACATGAGCTTAATACGCGGGAAATTTCCCAGAAATATGTTGTTTGGACATGCTATTGTATTCTGCTATCCTGATAATATTGAATTTATTAACAATCAGAGAATGATCAATTTGTAAATTTGAAAAACAAATTATTACAAGGAATAGAAATAATAACTCTTCTCCTAAAGAATATAAAGTGATCATGGCGACGGTATTCATATTTTTTAAGTCTCCGTTACTATATTAAATCATCTCATCAAAACTTGAAGCTTTCGAATGAGGTGGCTAAACAACATGAACTTACAGCTGCCAACTCCAAAACTTAGATCTACCACAATGTATTTTTCAGTGGCAATATGGAGCTCTGACAATACTAAACCAACAACATGGTTCTTGAGTAAGCAAAAATTTCCAAGTCTAATCATTAGCACTGTGATCTTAATTACACAAATTTACTTCTTTTAAAACCTATGTTTTTAATTGGAAACCAACATAATACTCTAAAATTATGTGTTTTTGAAATATTCGAACCCCATTTTGCGATCCAAAGTCCATGAACAAATTTATTTTTTCGGAAACATTTGGGTTTCCAACTTTCAGAAGGTAGGGATTGTAAGATCATCATAAAGAATTACAGAACGCACAAGTTTATACAAAGCCTGAATCAAACATCATATCTACTCCACTTTAAAAATTTCGGGAGAAGTCCAAATTCTGGAAATTGATGACCAAAAAACAAAACCCTAAAATTATCAGATCATGAAACAGCAACGCAGCAGATTCTACATTTGAACGTCTGAAAATGGTATAAATTCAATCTAAAAATAACAAGCGGAACATCAAAGCGTACCTGTTTTCGCACAAATTAACTTTAGGGGATCGCATTAGCGGTAAGAAATCTAATTATTTCTGTTTTTCTCTCTTCAATCTCTCGTATCAAAGGAAATTTTTAGGGTTGAAGAAAGTTGTTGCAGAAAGATAGCCGTTGAGATTTGAATTTATTTGGGGGAGAGATGGTCGTTTATCGCTTTAACGGATGGATACCCAGTACTTTTTATCTTTTTCTGTACCAGGCTACTAGCCGTTAGACTTGAGCCCATGCCCAAATCTTAACTAGAAATGAGTTAGCCTTGTTAAGAAAGTGGACGATCTGAACCCAGCCCAAATTTCAATAGCCACTATAACCCAAGACATGACATTTTCTTTGGAAATTTGAGAGAACCAATTGGGAAAATTTCATATCTAAGAGTTTAACTATGACCCATTTTAAAATTAAGAAATAAGGTTTAAAACTTTAAAAGTTAGATATTAATAAATTTTTTAATGAAATGATTAATTAAAAAATATACTTTATTAATTAAATATATTAATGTCACGAATCTATACAATTTGGTCACAAATTATCGAATTAATTGGTTAAAAATTATTTCTCGATTACAAATAAAAAATTTTATAGGTCAAACTAAGAAATAAGATTTAAAACTTTAAAATAAGATGTTAATAAATTTTTAATTAATTAAATATATTAAGGTCACAAATCTATACAATTTGATCAAAAATTATCAAATTAATTGATTACAAATTATTTCTCGATCACAAATAAAAAAAAATTATAGGTTGCAAATTATTCCTCGATCACAAATTAAAAATTTTATAGCTCACAATTTATTCATCAGTCATAACTCATTTTTCAGTCACTAGGTTACAACTTATTTAATGATCACAAATTATTAAATTAATTGGTCGCAATTATAAATTTAATCACGATCACATATTCTTTAAAGTTACATATTATTTACTAATTACAAATTAACAATTTATTAATCACCCCACCCCACCCCAACACCGTCAAGCCACCACCTCCCCAAAAACACCACCATCACCACCTCACCGCCACCTCTAGATCCACCACCATCGCCAGCTCCATCACCAACAAGAACCACCCAAATCCTCAACGACACTAAAACACTGAAACAACCACAACCACTCCAAAAAAAAAAAATAAAAAAAACCTACCACTATCATGCCGCCATTTGAACCCACCAATGCACCGCACCATTTCGCAGCGATGATCAACACCCTCCTAGAATCATCTGAACCCACCATTGTGCAGTACCACCATTCGAACCCACCACTCCCAAATCATTGCAAAGAGGGCAAAAACCTATTGACCACCACAAACCACCGCCACCACTCCATAGCATCTATTTTGGAGAA